CTATCACTGGATGATTAAGATGAAACATTATTAATATACGTAAAGCATTTAGAACAGTGCCTGGCACAGAGTAAGTACTATGTGTTAGTTTTTACTAATGCTCCTTAGGTCACACAGCTGGTTGCTAGCAGAGTCAGGATTTGAACTCGGGTCTGTCCGACGTAAAGATCTTTCCATTGAATCATGTTCCACTTTCTGGGAAGTCTTTGCTGATCTTCTTCTTTTTATTTTTTTGATTTTATTGGGGAATAGCTATGGTCTTTGGTCATTGGTTATTGGTTACACATTGCTTTCATGCTGCAATGCCATAGTTGACTCTTTTAAGGAGGGTGCAGCTCACAGTGGCCCATGCGGGGATTGAACCGGCAAGCTTGGTGTTATTAGCATGATGCTCTAACCAATTGAACAATCGGTCACTACCTTTGCTGGTCTTCTTGATCTGGGTTGGCTACTTCTTGTTTGCATTTCTGGAACCCTCTGTACTTCCAGAGTTCTTGGAAATGTGGATCCAATGGCCAGTGAGACACAGAGGGCCAGTGTGACGGTGCTGTGTGTTGGGCATGATGTGCTATATTGAGGCTGGTGCTAGGACAGCAGCGTCACATCGGCTTCCTTCCTTAGTATCCCTAGTTGCAGGCCGGGTGGGTGGCGTGAGCCCCTAATGGTACATGTACCGGAAGCTCAGAACCATTGTGTTTTTTCTACAGGTAATAGCTGCGGCCGGAAGTGATGAGAAGTGCAAGCTGGCGCTGCAGAGGGGCGCACAGTCCAGCGTGAACTACAGCCAGGGCAGCCTGAAGGAGGCAGTGAGGAAGCTGGTGGGCCGTGGTGGGGTGGACGTGGTCATTGACACCGTGGGAGGAGATGTCTTCCTGGAGGCTCTCCACAGGTGCCGAATGTGGTCCTTCCAGAGTGAACCAGACCTGGGGTCTGCGAACACCTGTCTAGACCTCTGTCTTTCTTCTGGCCTTGCGTCCCTTTTGTCTGTGCTGCTCACTTTTCCTGCAGGCCTTGGCATCAGGGAGAACAGCTGAGCGAGTGGGTAGAAAGAACTCGAAGCCCAGGGAAAATCAGGAAATGCTTAAATATAGCAAAAACAAAATATACAGCTGGAAAATACCCAAGAAATGACTGCAGACTCGCTAGTTGGCAATAGCAAATAGCAAATGCTTTAGAAATTATACATGTGTGAAATTCAGCTGGGTCGGCCCCCACTAACTACATACATGGTGGGGTAGGTCTTGAGGAAGCCATTGTTTGCATGTTAGATGCACATGCTCTTTCGGTCTTCCTGGTTTCTGAAGCAGCCACTGGGGTAGGTGTCTCCTTGACTTGTTTTTTTTTTAAAAAACTCACTGGAGATTTAGTGGGACTACCGTCTCCACACCAATTCTCATTTGGTTTTCAACCAGGGGGAAAATGGAGTGCTCTGAATACGGGTTTCATTTCTCATGTCCTCCTGGCAAGCATCATTTGTGGATTCTCACCATTTAAAGTAGAAGTGACAGAAGCAGAGAGAGCACTTGGCCCATAGGTGGGACCTACCCTGTTTCCCCGAAAATAAGACCCAGCCAGAAAATAAGCCATAGCATGATTTTAGGTGCCAAAATATGGCACCTTGGCATACTGAATATTTTAAGCCGAAGGAGTTTGTGGAAAAGGCACCCTTCTCCCTGAAACAGGTCATAAAACCNCTCTTCTTGCTTTAAAATGTCCCGGTTTTGAAATATTCATGAAATCACATTGCTGGATGATTTTTCGTTTCTGAAGTAACGTTCACCTCTCCCTGGCACAGAGAAAGTGTTCTAGTGACGGCAGCCGCTGGAGCCACGGGCCTTGCAGTGATTGATGTGGCAACAAATGTCCTTCAGGCCAAGGTATTTATATGATAGATTCTGCCCTTAAAACACGGATACCTCCACATGTGGCTTTCAAACATGGGATATATTCATTCATTTATTAAAAACCACCAAGGCGGTGGGGATACAAAGTTACCTTGAGTAGGGTCTTGACAAGTGTTTGCTTATAGACTAGTGAGGTGACCCAGGAGTCAATTGCTCGCCCTTCCTGTAACTGGAAGCTGGCAAGGTCCATCTCACTCAGCCTCTGCAGCTGCTGTACCTGTAAGGCTCTGCACTTCAAATTTAAACTCAGATGCCACTTTTTTAGGGAAGTATTTTTTGTCCCTCAGATGTTGGTCCCCTCCCCCTACTGTTTGTATATGTCCTCATAGCATCCTAGGCTTCTCTTTCACAGCACACACCTCAGTGTACGCTTCGCCACTTACTTGTGTCCCCGTTGGACTCACGGCTCCCTCCTAATGTCCTGGAATCCCCATGAAGGGCAGGCACAGTGTCTATTGCATTTATGACCGTTGTGCCAGTGCCTGGCATGGTGCCTAGACCACAGCAGGCACTAATAACCATTTCTTGAATGAATGAACAATTGAAATAAAGACCAATGTCTCCACAGCGGTGTCTCTCTGAGGCTGTGGGTACCAGAGAAAGAGGGTTTCTTGGAGAAGGTGGACATTGAAGCTGACTTTTTGAAGGGCTGACAGCAGCCGAATGGAGAAAGAAGGGAAGCGAAGGCCTTTTTAGTGGTGGGAGGAGCTTCTGTAATAATAAGATGACGGAGAAATGGGAGCTAACACGATGCATTCAGGGAGTTGCACCTGGTACCTGTGGGGCAGAGGATGTGTGGGCGAATGGTCACAGGTGACTCTGTAGAGGTGGGCAGAGAGAAGACCAGGGGGTGCTGGAGAATTTTGACATTTGTTGGAAGCCACTGAGGGTTTTAAGTAGGGAAATGACACAATCATCTTGGCGTTTGCAAAGTTCTCTCCGGGAGCAGTGGGGACGAGGGGTAGGAGCAAGGTCAGGGGTAGTAAGAAGGCAGGAGGGCAGATTCTTGGAGAATCCAAGCCAGAGGGGATGGTGCTTGAACCATGGCAGTGGAGGCGATGAATTGAGAGAGACGAAAGTGGAAGGAAATAGAGAATTCGGTGACTAGAAAGCACCCTAATATAGTTGAAGGGACAGGGCTTTGATGTTACCCTGACCTAGGTTCAGATTCCAGCTCTGCCTTTAGCTTCATCGCTGCAGTTTCCTCGTTGGTAAAATAAAGTTTTTCTTAGAGGGTTTTTGTGCGGATGTTGAAATTACGCGTGCAATGTCTCTATCAGAGGGCATGGCATGTTGGTAAGAATCTCTTAAAAAGGGATCTTGTTATTAGACATTGATTGAGAAGGCACAAACTAGGTTGATTTGTGGATTTGCCATTGGTTG